GTGTTCGTGGTGCCCTGGATGGCCGCCAAGTACTTGAAGGAGAACGCAGAGTGAGTGGGGATGGATTGGGGGTTCCCCCGGGGTGCTCAGCCCCAGGCTGGGACTGCACAGAGGCTGCTGAGGGTCCCTGAGCCACCTGGCTGGGGCTGGCAAGCTTCTGGCCTCATCCTGCCCCCCTGGCACGGGCTGATGGTGCTGCTCTCCGTGTCTCCCCGGGCAGGTGCTGGGCACTGAACGAGAACATGGCTTACTGGTGGATCATCCGCATCCCCATCCTGCTCGCCTCCCTGGTAGGGGACACCTGCTACCCCTGTGCCTTTTTGGGCAACAGCAGCCCAGCCCTGGGCAGGGCTGTGATCCCTTGGGGAAGCTCCCAGCAGAGTGCAGGAAGGTGGATTGGCCTCCAAGGATCAGTGGAATGGACACGGGGTTGTTGTTTTAAGAGCAAATTGCCAACCCCCAGGCTCCGTGCAGGAAGGAGGGTGTTTGACTCCAGAGGAAGGGGCTGGCTGGGGGTGGTCCCTGCTGCTTCCTAGTCAGGATTTTGGGACGGCAGGAAGGGAGGAAGGGCAGCAGCAGCCTTGGCAGCACAGGGTGTGTCATCTGCTGCAGGCCCTGAGGGTGCAGGTGCCCTGAGGGGCAGGGTGGGCTGCGAGGGGTGGGGGTGCTGGGCTCTGTGTGCCCCTGCACTGTCTCCCCCTCCCCAGATCAACCTGCTCATTTTCATGCGGATCCTCAAGGTGATCCTGGCCAAGCTCCGAGCCAACCAGAAGGGCTACGCTGACTACAAGCTGCGGTGAGCTGGGAAGGAGGGAGGGGGTGGCCACTCGTGGGTCATCCCTGGTCCTGGGTAACACCACATCCACTCCCCATCCATCCCCACCCTGCTCCTCCACCCTTCACGTCCTTAAATGACCCCCCTGACTTTAACTAGGAGATTTAGGGTCCCCTTACACTCTTCCAGGCTGGCCAAAGCCACCCTCACCCTCATCCCCCTCTTCGGTATCCACGAGGTTGTCTTCATCTTCGCCACTGACGAGCAAACCACGGGCATCCTGCGCTACATCAAGGTGTTCTTCACCCTCTTCCTCAACTCCTTCCAGGTGAGGCAGGAGTGTGACACGTCCTTGTTCTGAGCACATCATGGAGCGAGAACTGGGGGGGTCTCTACCAGCTTGCTCTCCCTGTGTTGCCTCCATGGGGTGGGGGACACCATCCCTCCCACCCTCTGCCCCGGTGTTGATGATGATGATGGTGCTTCCTGTGCTCTCTGAAGCAGTGGCACCTCAGCCCTAAAAGCACCCAGAAATGGTCTGGGGGGAGTTTAAGCCCGTGCCAGCCCCAGGGGAGGGATGGCAGTGGGGGCTCACTCCCTGCTCTCTCCCCAGGGTTTCCTGGTGGCCGTGCTGTACTGCTTTGCCAACAAGGAGGTAGGTACCTGCCACAGCATCTCCTGCCCGCCTCTCCCATCCCATCCTGTGCCTGCAGGGAGGGCGTGGCCAGGGACAAGCCCCCATTCTCCCCTCCGTGTCAGGTGAAGTCTGAGATGAAGAAGAAGTGGCAGCTGTGGAAGCTCGAGTACCCGGTGCTCTGCTGTGCCCAGTGATGCAGAGGCTGCCCCGCAGAGCCCGGGCAGAGGGGCTGCTGCCCACGATGGCCACGAGGGCCCAGCTGCAGGGTGGGGGGCTGTGGGAAGCTGCGCTGGGCAGTGCCCACGCTGGGACCAGCGTCTGGCTGTGCCACGCTGGAGCTGCTGGAAGGGACACCCCTCCACTGTGGTCCGAGGGGGAGATGGGCACCCCAGACACTGCCAGGCATCGCTGCCCCCTTGGGGGCCTCACCTTGCCTGGGCTTGGGGGCTGCGTGGGCAGCACCTGCTGCTTCCCACCACCACCTGTGCACCATCAGCAACCCCTGCCAGCGCCCACCAGCCGTGCCAGGGGAACTCCCTGTCCACTCACACCCACCCAGGCACACGTGCTGAGGGGACCCTCAGCAGTGGGAATGGGAGGCTTTGTTCAGCCTGGCACTGCCCAAACCCTCCTGCTGCACCAAAACATCAGGACAGGCATCCCTGTCCCCGCTCCTTGTCCTACCCAAGGACCATCTCCCCAATCCCCTGACAGCTCCCAGACATCCACAGTCATCTTGTAAAGCTCTTCAGAGTGAGGTGCTGCTTCTGCCCCTTCTCTCCATCCTCGTGGACACAGAACGTGGCTCCAGCGCCCACCCCCCTCCTTGCTGAGCAGAGCCAAGGATGGAGCCTCAAAGTCACAAGGGAGTAAAGGATTTGAGAGTATCAGCTTGCTGGAGCTGGAGCCAAGCCCAACCTTCTGCATCCCAGGTCCAGCTCCCAGCCCAACCACCCCCTCCTCTGCTGGGGGAGAGCTGGGCAGGCCCAGGCAGGAGCCACGCTCGGCTCAGGAACTGTTTTGGTGGCAAAAGGCTGAGAGTCAGGTCAGGGAGTTTGCTTTCCAGCAAGGTGCCAGAGCATCAGCCCACGCTCTCCAAGCAGCCTGGGAAGCCCAGGAAGCTCAGGAGCACTGACACCTCTGCCTTGGCAAGGATCTGAGGTGGATTGGTTTGAGCAGGGCTGCATGTGCCTGGCTCCCAGCTCCTGTCCTGATGCTGTGTTCTCCTGGAAGAGCCAGGAGCAGCTGCAGTCACCACCATCACCTTGGGTCCTTGCTGTCACCCTCAGGAGCAGCACAGACGTGCTCCCCAGTACTTGCTCCTAACCAGGTTCCTTCCTTTCTCTTGCAAAAGGCCCCTCCAGGCTGGAGGAAGCAGCTGGGGCTCTCCAGCACAGGGACACAGAAGGTTCTCCAGCTCCTGCCCCTTCCCTGACAGGCTGGGGGAGCCTCTGGAGTGTCTCATGGAGAGGCTGTGCCAGGCTGGAGTCACACAGGAGTTGTCCTGGATTGCTGTAGCCCCCGTGAGACCATTTTACACATTAACTCTCTCCTCCGATGTAAATAAATGTTTATTTTTCAACAAGCAGAGCCTGCTGCTTCTGTCTGCTCCGAGGGAGGGACACAGCTCTTGAATCCCAGAATGATTTAAGTTGGAAGGGACCTTAAAGACCATCTTGTTCCACCTCCTGCCATGGGCAGGGACACCTTCCACCAGCCCAGGTTGCTCCAAGCCCCGTCCAACCTGGCCTTGGACACTTCAGGGATGGGGCAGCCAGTCCAGCAGCTCCACAGGTGCTGAGTTGCTGCTCTTTGGTGGGTGCTTTGGGGTCCCAATGGATTCCCCCATCCCCCACCCAGGTAGTGCTGCAAGGATGGCCCCTCTGAGAGGAGCCAGGCAGGGCTGGGAAGCCAGAGATGAGGCACTCCCAGTGCCTGCAACCACCTGGGAGAGGAAGCTGGAAAGCACTGTATGTGTTACCCACTGCCCTAAACAGATCAGGGAGCTAATTCATGATTCCACAATCCATCTCCCTCCAGAGAAACCCACACGCCACAAACAGGTTCTGAGTTTTTATTCTTTTATCCCAAGTTAGCAATTACTCTTCTCCTCACACAGCTTGCCTTAGGGTAGCACCAGGCTCCCTGCTGCCTGCACAGCCCCCCTGGCAGCAAGGAATGCTGCTTAACATCCTCCATTTCAGGAATTGCCTCCTCAGGGAAACACTCTCGTAGAAAATTCCCAGCCCCGTGTCCCCCTTGTCTGCTTTCACACCCCTTGGAGCCTTTACACCTGGGCTCCTGCAGCACCTTTCCTGGGGCCTCTCCTTTTCCTTCCCTCACAGCCTGCCCAATCTTCCCCCTTTTCCCAGGCTCCCAAGCACTGCAGTCTAGTGGAGGTACCATCTGAACCCCTCCAAACCCATTTTTTCCACCCTAAGACTGAGCAAAGCCAGACCTAAATGTGTGTAGTCTCCATCCAGCCGTGTCCTGCAAAGCCCACCCAGTTCTGAAGGCACTGCTGAGCCAGAGCTTCCCTTGCTCTCCAGGGGCTCCCAGGCCCTTTCCCTGAGGGTTTTTTTGAGGTCTTTTTGCCTTAAATTCAAAGGACACAGCACTGATAGCATGGCTGGAGGCACTGCCAAGGCTAGGGAGGCCCTGGCACTGCCCACCATTCCTCCACTGACAGGGAATGAGAGACAAAGCACAGAATACTCTTCCCAGCACAACCTCCAGAAATTCTGAGGAATTTCCAGGGATGCTGCCTTAGGAGAATTAGCTCCACCTCATCAAAATTCTTCAGGGTGAAGCTCCTGCAGCCTTGTCCTGTACCTGGCACCAGGTGCCACGTGCACTACGGCATTTGCTAAAAAATGAAAAAAACAGTGTGTTGTGGTGAATTTAGAGTCAAACACGAGCAGAGAGCAGCATCCCCAGCACACAGGAGCTGCCAGTGGGGCAGAGGCACATCAGACAGGGCCACACCTGCCTGCTTTTGGCCACTCTCTCAGCTCCCAGAGGCAGGGCCTGTTCCTGCACTGCCTGTCCTTTGAAAATGCCCACCCTGGAATGCCCTGGCAGAACTATTTCACTGAAAGTGGTGAGGACCAAAGCTTTGCACCACAGCTCCAGCTGGGATGTGGTTTCTTGTGCCCATCTCCCATGGGGGACAGAGCTGTCCCTCAGCTCCTGCTCTGCTATCCTGGCATTCTGCAGCTTGCCAGAGGCATGGGAAGCTCAACAATCCCGAGCTCTTCCTTCTCTCTCAGGTACTTCAAGGGGAACATCTGCCCTTGCAGCCACTGCCAGCGCTGGGATCTTGGCATGGACAAACAACAGTCTCTGCTACAAAGCATTTACCACAAAACCAAGCTTTTGGGGATGGAATTAATGTTTAGAGTAGGCAGGAGGGGCATAGCCAGGACCAGGAAGTTATTCTGTACTACCTCCTGCCATACAGAGGGGCTGGGGGAAAGGGGTGCCTTTTAGTCGGGGGGTAACAATTGTTTGCCTCTCTTGTACCCTCTGTTGTTGATATTGTTGCTGTTACTGTTGGTTTTCTTATCTCACTGCTGTTCCCAGTAAATTGTTCTTTACCCTTTGTGCCTCCAGTTCTCCTCTCCATCCCACCACAGGATGGTTGGGAGTGTTTCAGGGGGAGCAGTAAATTGGAGAATTCCATTCCTAAACTACAGCACCTGATCACAAACAACCCCTGAGGAGGGCAAGAATCTGAAGAAAACCAGGGTGGGCTGGCTGAAGGAAGAGGTTTTGAAGCCCAGCTCTGGGATGGCAGCAGAGCAGACATTCCAACTAGGAACAGAGCTTCACTGCAGCTTGAAGAGCCAAACCTTACAACCTTCCCTCACTTCACCCCTCCACAACAACCTGTCTTCCTCGTGGCCTCAGACACATCCTCTGTGCCAATCCACGTGGTGCAGGAGGAGCCAAGGGCAGATTTCAGAGGCGGTGGGGAGGCTGGGATCTAAAAATAGATAATTAATTGATTGCTGTGTGTAACTGTCAGCTTTCTAACACCACACCGCCCTGACCAACAGAAGGGCTGCAGGACTCTTCAGGCAGATAAAATATCTGAGCTTGGAGCTTCTCCTCCTAACCCAAACCTTCCAGTGTGAACAAGGATCCTGGGAGCCCAGACAGCAGTCAGGCCCAGAGTGCTGCTGGTTGTGTCCTCTTCTGCTGTCCCCTGTCCTCCTGTGTTTTCTCTGGTGGCCGAGCCCTCCTGCCAGGCCCCGTGGGCAGTGGTGGCACTCGCAGAGCAGCGGCGTTGCCGGCACGGCGCTCACGCTCCTTCAGCTTCCGGGTGGAACAGTCACCCGACGTCAGTGTCCCTGCAGCACCCCCAAAAACAGGACAGTCACCCCTCTGTGGGACACAGGGAATTAAGGGTTTTCCCATGGGAAAACCAACCAGAGGGCATGTGAGGACTAGTTAAGAGCCCAGCCCTGGTGGTGTGCTGTGAGTGAGCACCGGGATGTGCAGTGAGGGGAGATGTCCCTCAGTGCCACAGCCTGTCCCTGGGGATGATAATTCAGTAATTCCCACTCACCCTCCTGCTTTGTTACGGCTCTGGCCAGCTGGGCTCGCTCTGCCCTGGGGCTTGGAGCCTTTGGAGGTTTTGAGTCACAGTCTGCAGAGCTTTTCCTGAGGACAAACCAAAGGCAAAAATCAGCGTTAGGAACAGGGAATAACAGGCTGCACTCAGCCAACTGCTGTGCTGTCTTCCTGCTGCCTGCTCCCCTGCAGCTTCCAGCATCCATAAAAACAGGGTGTCTCTCTGTCTGTGGCTGGGACAAGTTCCTGTCATCAGGAGGACAGGACACAGGCTTTGGGAACCACTTCCCAAGCAGCTCTGACCACTGGGCAGGAGATGCAGAGGCTATCTCTCAGCCTGGGCCTCTCAGCAGAGGATGAGGCAGAGCCCAAGATCTGCAGGGAGAAAATGCCTGCACCAACTTCAGAGCCTGGAGACTTCCCTGAATGAGGAGGGATTGTTGGGTCCTTCTCAATTACCATTCTAAGCCATCACAAAGCCAGGCCTTCCCTTGGCACAACAGTCCCTTCACCTGCCCAGGGTCCTTCCCTCTTACCCATCTCTTCCACACATTCCTCCAGCACAGCTGACAGCTCAGGCAAGCTCAGGGACTTCAGGGAAGGTGGCCACCCTTCCAGCACTGCAAGCACAGAAACACACAGTTAATCCATCTGCATGCTCTCTGTGACAGGGCAGAGACAAGGGGTAGGTGTTGCTGGGAAGCATCCACACCCAGAGTGGCTCCAGTTTGGAATTCTGAGTTACACAGGAAGAGTGCTGGTACTGCCCATGCCAAACTGAGGGGGTTTGCTGACAATTCTACCACTTTGGAATTTATGTTTTTACACTGTCTGGGTCATATTTAAAAATCTCAGAGATTAGGTGTAGTGGACAGAATTCAGCAGGATCTCTGTCTCACTTTTAAAACAGGAAGAAGCAGGACCACAAAGTCACAGATTGGTTTGGATTGGAAGGGACCTTAAAGACTCCACCCCCTGGAGTGCTCCAACCCCATCCAACTCGGCCTCGACCATTGTCAGGGATGATTTGCTAACTCCTTGCAATAAGGAGCTGCTGACCAGGCCTACTCAGAGGCGTCCAGGTGTTTGCCCCACAAACTGAATGGGACAATCCCCCAAACTGGGACAAGGGAACCAACCACAGCTTCTGATTCAGCCCCTGCTCCAGTACACAGTGCAGTGACACACCTGAGGTGCAGCCAGAGACCCACAAAGCAGGGCTGTCACTGAACACCTGTCTTACAGCTCTGCATTTCTATCCACAAGCACCTGCCAGACCCCTCAACTTCCCACTTGTTGAGAACCAAAAGCTGCAGTTCAACTCCCAACACCCCGAGTGCTAAAGCACTCGGGGTGTTGGGAGTTGAACTGCAGCTTCCCCTGAGCACATTTCACATTCAGTGCGAGGGTTTGGCTCCTCATCCATTTCCAACTCGCTGACTTCACCCTTTCATCAAGGAAAGACAAGCGTGGGGCTGGCTGGCTCTGGGGCCTCCTGCTGCCCCCTCCTTGCCCCCCTCTCTGCAGCTGCAGGTGTTCCTCACCTGGGCGCTCGCCGGGCCGCCGACTCTCCCCGGTGTCCAGCGCGGTGCTGCCCACGCGCTCCGGAACGAGCCGGGAGGACAGCTCTGCCTGACAGCTCCTGCCAAACAGGACACAGCCCATCAGCAGGACACAGGGACTCTCCTGGGAACATGGGTCTGTGCCTTATCTCCACCCACAGCAATCTCTGCCTCACTCAGAGAGGAGCTGAGGGGGGACTGGGGTGAGCAGGAGGAAGCCCAAGCCAAGGGCTGTGCCTGGTTGGTGTGAGAATCAAGACCGATCCAAGGTTTTTGATGGGCGAAGGAAGTGACCTCAGGACAGGCAGCAGACAGGCACAGAAGTTCTCTGGCTGTCATCACCATCCCATGGATTCAAGCAGTGTATCCTCAGAGCATGGCAAGGCCCTTCTACCAGGCAGCCTCAGCTCCTCAGTCAGGGAAAAAGCCAAGCTCTTCCTCTTGCAGGTGGGAATATTGCTCTGCTGTCCTTCTGGATCCAATCCCAGCTCAGTGAGCACACTCTGCTGGGCTACAGTTCATAAACAGCAGGATTAATGCCACCTTCAAGGATGTACCTGTTCTATCAGTGGACAGAACAGGGCCTGTGACAGGAGTCCACCACAAAGGCAATAAAAAAGTGTGTCAGGAGGTGGGGGTGAATGGACAGGGCAGGATTTTCTGCTGGGCGTCAGACTTGCAAGGAAAGTGTTCTTCACTAGCAGGGTGAGTCCTCTGAGAGGGTTTGGAAGTTCACTCCTTCCTGCATTCACCTGATCACCCTGGGTAAGCACAAAGCCCTCAGCCTTTTGGTTCCTTCGAGTTGAAACAGGAGCACCCAGCACCCCCAAGAAGTCAGGCCACTTACAGCTCAAACATCTGACTAGGGCTTCACATCTGCTCCCATGGCTGTGGCTTTCCACTAGGGAAAGTCAGGCAGGATCCAAAACGGGTTCAGGTTTCATTCCAGGTGAGCTCTCCTGCCTTACCCTAAACTTCACCTGTAGGACTGCCAATACGACCCCAAATCCCATTTCCTGGTAACCTCAGTGTCATTTCCTGGGAATCACTCACTTGATCTGATCCAGCAGGACTCCAGCATCCTTGGTGATGGCCTGAGCCTCTCTGAGCTGGCACTGGATGGCATTCCAGGTCTCATCCCGCTCCATCAAGCAGCTCTCAGCCACTGCACGCAGCTTCTGCTCCTGGCACACCTGGCCCTTCATCACCTCCACCTCCTCACACCTCTGCAGCAGAGCAGAACAGGGGGTTAGCCTGGGATTACTGCACATCACTCATTCCTGCTACTCTGGCATGGCTCTGAAGTCATTTGAATGGCTTAGGCAACCAGATGGTTCCTTTCCAGCGGGAAAGGAGGCTGGATAAGGCTTGTACACTGAGAACAGGTTCTCTCCATAGCAAGCCCAGCCCCAAAATTACAATTCCGCCTTCCTCTCCATTTACAAATATATTCATTAGGGCAAATTTCCCAAACCAACACACTGATGGCTGCACAACTTCACCATAAAAATGACATTGCTCGAAAAGAGTAGGGATTCATTTCCTGCTCCTGGTTCCCATAGTTCTCAGCTGGGGGGGAAACAGACACAAAGGCTTCACGAACACAGAGCACAGAGGATAAGGAGAATCAGAGGAAACAGCCTGAAGTTATGCCAGGGGAGGTTTTGGTTGGATATTAGAAAAAGATTCTTGCCCCCAGAGGGTGGTTGGCACTGAACAGGTTCCCCAGGGCAGTGGTCACAGCCCCAAGGCTGCCAGAGTTCAAGAAGCATTTGGACAGTGCTCTCAGGGACAGGGTGGGATTGTTGGGGTGTCCTGTACAGGAGCAGGAGTTGGACTCGGTGATCCTGATGGGTCCCTTCCAACTCAGCACATTCCATGAGCTGCTAAGCTGTACCTGTGCTGTTACCTGACCTACCCCACACCAAGCGTGTCCCCTGAAAGCCCTGGCCCGGGGTAAGGGAAAGGACATCAGAGGCACAACATAAAAACACACCAACGTGTGTTTGCAGCGTGTGAGGCCCTGAGCAGCTCCCAGCAGGCTCACCTTGTGCAGCTGAATGGCCAGTTCCTGCATCTCAGCCTCCAGCCGGTCGGCATAGGCCAGCTCCAGCGCGTCGCTGGGCGGCCGGGCACTGCTGTGCCAGCGCGCGATGGCTGACGTCATCTTCCTCTTGGGCCCAAACAGCCTGGGGGACAGGGGAAACACGCAGGCATCAGGCCCTGCACCATCTCTCTAGGCCAAAAGGGAGACCTCATTACAGTTACAACTTCCTCGTGAGGGGAAGAGGAGGGGGAGGCACTGATCCCTCCTCTGTGGGGACCAGGGATGGGACTTGAGGGCATGGCCTGGAGTTGTGTCAGGGGAGGTTTAGGTTGGACATCAGAATGAGGTTCTTCACCCAGACAGTGGTTGGTCACTGGAACCAGCTCCCCAGGGCAGTGGTCACAGCACCAAGGCTGAGTTCAGGGAGTGTTTGGATGATACTCTCAGGCATGTGTGTGACTCCTGGGGATGGTCCTGGGCTTGAGGAGCCCCTTCCAACGTGGCATATTCTGTGAGCGGCAGGAGTGTGCTACAGCCAAGAACTGGGGGGTATCAAAAGGGAGTGGAGGCAGCCAGAAGAGCAGCACTCACTAGCTGAACTTTCCTGACCAGGTTTGTAAGGGGTGAGATGAGAACACCATGACAAACACTCACGTGATGCCAATTTCCTTCAGATCACTCTCTGTCAGGGTCAGGAAGATCCGCAGGTCAACGTCTTGCTCCTCAAACACTTGCAGATACTTCAGGCACCCAATTTGCTCAAGGAATGTTGCCAGGTCCTGCAGCCCATCCAAAACAAACTTATTTATACCCTCACAAACAAAAAGTATTACCATTTCTCTCAATCATAAATATCTGCTTCCTCATGTTGCTGTAACACCTTCCTGGGCTGCAGCAGCAACCACAACTTCCCCTGGTTCCCTGCCCTTTTCCACAGTCACATAACCAGGCAGGATTGGACTCTCTGCTGCAGCCATGGCCTCTTCTTGCTAGAGAAAAATGACACACCAACATCTACCCCAGCCCACATCGCTGCTAGGTTTGGTAGCACACCCACAGGCCTGTAAGGTCTAGAAAACCCCTCCAAGCAAAAGCAACACCTAAATAAACAATTATCTGTACGAGAAATTGCTGTTTGGCAAGCACTGAAGTTTGGGCAGAGGTTTGGAATCAAAGGTGTTTTGGTGACAACTTCCCTTTTATCCAAGAGAGCAGCTTAGGCAACGTTGGAAAAGCCTCCCACACCTGTGAGAGTGACAGAGGCTGTGTGACTGACTGTGTGCAGTTACCTGGGGCCCTGTGTAGGCAGGGGGCTCAGGAAGGACCACATGCTGACCAGAGCCCCCAGCCTTCCCTGAGCAGTGGCTCCACTGGCTGTCACTGTTGCTGTAGCGGTTCTTGACCTTAAAGCTCTTGGCTTGTTTCCGACTTGGGGGACTGTTTGCATGGTCAGAGTCCTGGAAAAGAAACAAAACACCCGCAAAAGCCCAAGGATGAGTGTGCAAAGATGTCAGGATCACTAGTACAGACTCCTTCAAGCCCTAAGGGCACTTCTATACATCAGCTCCAGAGCTGCCTTGAACCATGTGAGCTGTGAGTTTAAACCATGGAATAACCTCCAACCTCTTCCCCTTCCTTGGTTTTCTTGTCCCTGTATTAGCCCCTTTCCTCACCTCCCATGGAAGTAGAGTCACAGCAGGCTGTGTAAGGGTGACAGCACTGCCAAGCTGAAGGCAGAGAAGGGATAACTGAAGGCACTACCTCATTGCTTTCCAAGGAGCCTTCACTGCTGACTCCCAGGGCTCTGGTCAGGCATTCGCTGCTGCTGCTGCTGCTCCTGATGGTTCCCAAGTTGTTGTTGGAGAAAACATTATCCTCTGTAAAGGAATAGGGAAAAAATGTTTAAGGTCAGCTTCAACTTCCTACATTCTGTTTTTGATACACAGTTGCCAGCAGAACCTCCTGGAGGTGTAAGGGAAGGAGAAACCCAGAGCAAGGCTTCATATGCATCACCCATCATACAAGACAACCCTGAGAGAGAAATATCACATCTGATCCCAGATGTTAATCTTTCCCCAAGTCTGTTTAGTACCACAGACACCACTGGACACAGCTTTGCTCCACCTCCTTCACACCCTCCTTCAGATCATTTGTACACATTGATGAGATCACCACGCTGAGCTTTGTCTGCTGTAGCCAAACCATCCCAGCTTTCTCAGCCTTCCCTCAGGAGAGATGCTCCAATTGCAACATCTTAGTGGCAAAAGAACACGCAAGCCAAGGGCTGGACTCCCATCCATGTGTGCACTGCAAGCTGGACCCTTTTCTTAGACAGTGACCTACCCCGGCTGCTGCTGCTCTCCACATCCTGCTCATTGATGGGAGAGGTGACGTCCCGGTTCCGGATGTCCCCTCCTTCACAGCTGCCATCGTCACTGAAGGTGACATAGCCCTGAGGGGGCACCTGCTCTGTGTGCAAGAGGAAGGGAGAACACGCTAAGATTAGGATACAGGTTAGCAGGGAGGCTCCAGCAGAAAATACAACCACTGAGGGATTTCAAAACAAGAGACTCTCTTCTCAACTGGAAGGTTTCATTCTAAAAGGCACAGAGAAAACCTGAGAAATGCAGTTCCCTCACACAACCCCCACAGCAGCTGTACTTCCATAGCTGCACTGAAAAGAAGTCAGAGGAAACAGCCTCATAACAGAGATGCACCTTAAATAGCAGTTTTCAGCATTTCTTCACACCCAAATTTTATCAAAGGGCAAAAGCACCTGCTTAATAGAGCAAGGTGCCAACTGTGTCCCATCCCCAGCCCAGCCCACCCTGCAAAACCAACCCCTCTGCAACTGTGCTAGAACACCAGGAGCATCCCACTGTCATTTAAGAAGCTCACAGTATCATTTGATACAGACAGTGCCTGTGGGACAATACATATCTGGTTTTGAGAGAATGAACTGATCTTTGAACATCCTTTTGAAGTCCATATCCTTTGCTATTTCAACCAGGTAATCAACCTGACAAATAGCTGTGACACACACAGGAACACAAACTTTACACCACTGCATCCAGGGATTGAAGCCTGACTTGGTATTGTCTCTCTCTTGGTCTATTGCAAAGGTTTTGTAATCTCATTTTTAGCAGCATTTCAAGCATCAGGGAAGGCAAAAAACTGACAGGTCCAGAAGCAGAGAGTTCACTTTCATGATCAGTGATTTCCTGGCCTGTGTGACCAGCTCTGTCAGCAGCTTGAGAAGGACTCCAACTTTTGAGCCTGCCTCAAAAAGGGAAGCTGGGAGGGGAGCAGTCATTGAGGTAGGAACAGGGAAGTGTCCCCCTCATCAATATCCAGCCTTGACAAAAGAATTCAAGGGGGTTTCTTTCTAAACCAGAGACTGGACAGTTTTGTATGATGGTGTTCACTACCTCTGTTCTGTACACACATGAACCCCAAACGAAGAGAAAAACAATTGCTAGCCCAGAAAAACCTCAGAGGACTCTCAGTCAGGCTCCTGACTCCTCTCACCATAGCAAGACAGCTTCTTGCAGCCCATCCCAACAGCTGTGATCTTTGCCAAAGCCTGGGGCCCGTCATGGATGCTGGGACCCTTCATCCTACGAGCAGGTCTCTGTCTCTGGGGAGCAGAACATGATTCATCTGAGGAACTCAGCTCTTCGTATTTTCCTACAGTTCAAACACATGTTGTTAGCAGCACAGTAATTTACCTGCTTTAGTTGCTACCCATCCTAAAAATGCAGTGGAAAGCAAAAGGAAAATGTTAAAGAGGGAGGGTGAAACAACTAAACTAGGTCAGAAAAGGGATAGCAGACAAAAGTTAATGGATTCATGGCTCTTCCATCCTCAGAAATGCTGGAATTTCCAGCATAGAGCAACTAGCACTACCCCATACACACAGTAATATGCTTTGGAAACATCAAACACCTCCCTTGAGGTTCCATCTTAAAATGAACAAGGTAAAACATCTGTTACCTGGACCCCTGCAGAAGACCTTGGGCACTGGGGCTGCATGCAAATCTATCAGTCCCACAATCTTTGGATGTCCATACTTCATGGCCAGTGTCCGTGCTGTGGCTCCAGTGTTATCTCTGACATCTGCCTTCACTCCCTGGAGAAAAAACACCAGTTTAAATCCACAAAGCAGAGGGCACTGTATAAAAAAACCCCAGGATTGTCTTGGTTCCTCCATCAGAAATACAGGCTCACCTTTGACAGACAGTTCAAGCTCCACTAATATATTGATGCCTTTCTAGTTATCCACAGTGTCCCCAGTGTCCCTGAATGCCAAATAGCCCAGGTACATGGATTTTGTGCATGGGGAACTTGTTTATCTGGGAAGTGTTTTGTATTGCTACCTCCTTCTGGTGGACAACTTAAATGGGATGTTAAAACCAAATTGTTTAAGAGGCATGCATGCTAATAAAGCTTTTGGAGGCAGAAGATGCCCACTAGCCTGAGCATGCAAGCCTGTACACACAGTAGAAAAATCACAGCTTTAGCTGTTTCCTAATTCGGTCATTATTCAGTTAAATCTGGACAATCAGGCCTCACTCCTGTTCCTGCAAGGCCAGTGTAAAATCACAGTACTAGTCTGCAGAAAACAGAAAGCAATCCTGGAAGTCTGAGGCTTCAGATGTGACTGTCACCAAGGATCAAACATAACACTGCAAAAAAGGCTGGTGTCAAACTTGTGGTTCTTCCTCTGAGGGCTGGAGGCAGAGACTTTGAGCTTTACAGACAACTGTCATGACACTCACGTGATTGAGAAGGTACTGAACAATTATCTCATGGCCAGAAGCAGCTGCTTCCATCAGAGGTGTGTATCCATACACTGGCTCCCTGCAGAGAGAACACACACACGGACCAGGATAATCACAGCTGAACTGTGCTGCAGTTACTGCCATACCCCAACACAACATCTCCATCCCTCCACCTTTGCTGGTCATAAACTCTATCAAACACTGGCTCTTCTACTGCACTCCATTCTATCCCAGAAAAAACTCCCCAGGGGGATTCAGTGTTACTTGACTGGCTGCACAGCAACAAATCCAGCTGCAGATCTGCCTTCCAGAGGCAAAATCAGTTTTACAGGAGCTAATAAAGCAAGAACAGCTTGTTTAAACGTACAGCAGTTCCCAAGGCACGGGAATGCACTGCACACTTCAAAAATCAAACTGCACTCTGAGTATACAGAAAATTCAACAGGGAGACTTGCAAAGCGCACTTGTGTTCAGAAGGCATTGCACCTTCTGCTTTCAGAGTTCTGCTCATAATTAAACAAGCAGTAAATATAATTTCTCTTGATCTTAGTAATAAATAAACAGTGACAACATGGGCAGACCACCATTCAGTGTACAGTTTGTCCTTGTGTCAGCTGTGCCACATGTCCTAAGGTACAGGGGAAGACAAAAGCAGGTGTCTGTGTTGGAGTATGTTTATGTGCCCACTGTTGCTTTCACATCTGAAGGAGAAATGACAATAAAATGACAGATTCCTCCTTACTTGCAGTTGGCGTTTGCTCCATTCTCCAGTAAGAACTTGACCATCTGCTGGTGCCCAGCGCTGGTGCAGTGGAACAAGGCAGTCCAGCCATGAATGTCCTTCATCTCCAGCTCTGCACCTTGCTTCAAGAGAAGAGACAATGTCCTTTACTGCACCCCCTCTGCTCGGGCTTTTACTTCCCCTCTGTGCTGGGACACCAAGAGTTTAAATCCCTGCACGAAGCTGAACTCACAACAGAACATTTAAACCACGTGCTGTGGCTCTACCTGTTGGTTATGGGATACACACCTGTAGAAGGAAGTAAGCAACACTCTCGTTCCCACAGCTGGAGGCCAGCATGAGTGGGGTCTGGCCTTCTGGGGTTGGGATGTTCACGTTCACTCCGGCTTCCAGCAGCAGGTGCACGATGTTGTCGTGGCCGATGTAGGAGGCATACATCAGTGGAGTCCAGCCCCCACAGTTCCTCTGGTTTAAATCCAGGTCTCCACTAAATAACAAAAGGAAAGAAGTCAGATGGACTACTGGGGTTGAGCTGTAGGTCACAGTCAGCTTCTCTTGCTACCATCACTGCACTGAAAAAAATTCTAGCACTGAAGCCTGCATGGAATTCCTTCCAGCTCTAGCACAACTTCCACCAAAGCACAGAATCATGGAGCAGTTTGGGTTGGAAGGGACCTTAAAGACCATCTTGTTCCACCCCCCTGCCATGGGCAGGGACACCTTCTGCTAACTCACTAAGGAAATAATCTTTATCAGCAGACTTGCCCCTGAAACTTTGTGCCCCAGCAGCCTTTGGCAGTTGCAGGGACGTGTCCCTGGTGCGCTGACCGGGGTGGCACCGGCGAGAAGCACACCTGGCACAGGTAAACCCCAGAGCTGTGCCCGCCCCAGCCCCTCTCACCGCTGAATGCACTCCTGCACCACTTCATACTGCCCGACGGACGAGGCCGTGTGCAAGTCCAGAGGGACGTCCAGCTCCTCCCGGCACATCATCCCGGCCCCGTGCCACATGGACAGGCTGCGGCTCAGCAGCTCCGACTCGCTGGCTTCGTCACTCAGCTCCGACATCCCGCCCTCAGGAACCAAAGCAAAGCACAACACTGAGCTCCTGACCCCCGTTTTCCATCCAACAAGGCATCACCCGCTGGAGCTGCAGCTCCAAGGTGCCACAGGCTCAGCTCAGAGCTGTGGTGGTTCCAATTCCTACCTCTGCTCTGATCCACTCCTCAGCCCCAGGCGGTAACAGCTGCTGAGAAGATTTTGCTGGAAGTTCTCTCTTGCTGCAGGGGACTCGGGGATTCAAATACACTGGAAAAATAAAAGGCAGTAATGCTAAACTGCACATCTTTCAAATACTGTATTAAGATTTCGGAAGCACTGGCTTTATTTCCTTCCCTTCTAATCCGAACATGCCCAAGGCAGCTCATCAAGAGAAGACTAAACACCTATTTAAGATGCTTAGTGTATACAAAAGCGTGTAATTCTTGCTCTGCATGTTTTATAATGCAGAGAGAGAATTAAGAATGCACGTGTCAGACATTCCTGGGTTTTTTTCCAACTCTTACATTACAGGATGGCCCTGCTTAAATTAAGACACAGTCACTAATAATGACAACTGCCCACTGCTCCTGAAAGTGGTTCATGTCACCTAAACAGGGTTCACACTTCACTATCATCAGGCTGTAAGAATGCTTGTACCACTTATTGTTTCAGCTCTTCAGGTGCAACCCAGCCCTATCTGTGTGAATCCTGGAAACTGCTGAAACACTGGGAGCAGCAGCAGCTGCCCATTCACTGTGGGAGCATGCCCAGCGTTCTGCAGACACAACTTAATTACACAGTGCCTCCAGTTCCAGCACTACCTGCAAGGTTTATTCCCAGCCTTAGGGAGCAATCACAGATTAATCACTATAACCACTCACAGGAGTGCTCCTGTTTGGCACTCTGTAAAGAGCTGCTCAGCACAGCTGCATCCATCAGCTGAGGCCCTTCAGCTGCAGCTCCAGGCACGGAATCCTGGAATGCTCCAGGTTGGAAGGGACCACTGGAAATCATCTCACCCAACCTCCCTGCTCAAGCAGGGTCTCCCTGAGCACATTGCTCAGGGCTGTGTCCAGGTGGGTTTGGAATATTTGCAGGGAAGGAGATTCTACGACCTCTCTGGGCAGCTTGTTCCACTCAATCCCATGGGAAGTGCTTTCCCCTCCCTGCAGTGTCATTGCCCACCATGCAGCATTTCTGGGGTTTGCTTGGTCCCACTACATAATCTGCTGGGCGGCTAAGCCAACATAAAGAAGTCTTTCCTCTTCCTGATAATTTCTTGACAATTTAATTCCTCAGATTGATTCATTCTGGGGTCAGGCAAATGCCAAACCTGGCATTGGTGAGGAATAAAAGAGAGCAGAAACAGGCTTTCCAGGGGCAGCTGCTCTTTAGATTCCCTCAGTGGCAAGTTTTCACACCCATACTTATATTTTCTGATCAGCTGTGAGTCTTTGTCTTGGAAACACCAGATCCTTTTCTTACAACATAAGAAAGCACCTTTAATTCCTACCTCTTCACTCCCCACTTGGACCCTTTCTCTCACACCTTCCTTTTCTTCCCCTCCTTCTCCTTTGGCTTGTTAAGACTAAAAAAGCACCATCTATTCTACTTAATCAGCTGGTGACAAATGTTCCCTTCCTTAAGATACCTGCAAAAGCACTTATTTTACTTAATAGCAGCTGTTTGTATTACAGTGGGCAAACCAGAGCTCTCAGGCAAGAGCAGGGCAGAGCACAAATGGAAGGCCTGAACACCCCAAAATCAAAATACAAGTAGACAGGAGTGGATTTAAGTGGATTGTAAAGAGGAAGATAGAAATGTTTCTTACTACAACAGATTAAAGCTGCTCCTGGAAGGCAAAAAGGCATGTGAAAGGAGGGAAAACCCAGGGCAGTTTGTAGAAGCACATTCAGATGCAAGTGAAGCTCATTGTCTCTGCAGCCCTGCTTATTAACTGGATACATTAATTAGAAACCACACAGGTGTTTGGTGTTTGTCAGAATCAGCCCCACTCAGGTACAAGTTACCAACACAACCCTGGGGAGGTGATCACAGTCCACAAGACAATCCTGACAGGACAGACAGGTTATGCTGGACTTCAGAATATTCAAGGCACTCAGACTCACTCCCACCACCACCATGCTCTGCTTTTTTATAACTCTCAGATTTCACCTCAGACTGAACTGGAGCCTGATGTCAGCTCTGTAAACACCTGAGCACAATCTACAGAACAACAGTGATCAGAGCCCTCAGGGCTGAAATGAAAAGACCTGAAGTGAAATGAAATCAGGGTTGCCTGGTCCCAAGAGGAGATGCCTGGAGGGGACATGTGACACAATTGGCTGCTGCAGAGAGCAGGACAGAAATAACCCATTCTTTGTGGCAGGGTGAATATCACGGTGATGATCATATCAAATGGTTTGAGCTGGAAAGGTGCTGTCCCTGGTCATAGAGAGCAGAGGTCAGAGCTGCCCCTCCTGAGGAAGCTGCAGACCCTGATGAGGTCTGACCTCAGTCTCCTCTTCTCCAGCTGAACACACCAAGTGCCCTGAGCTGCTCCTCAGACCCTTCACCGTCCTCACATCCCTCCTTTGGACACTCTCCAATAGCTTTAGAACCTTCTGATATTTCAGCAACCAGAACTGCTCACAGGACTCGAGGTGAGACTACACCAGAGCAGGAACACACTCCACTTCTGCTCCTTAGTTCTATCTCCCCTAAATCCACCGACAACCTATTGGAGGGAGTAAGAAGCCTTGTTACATCCCTGTACAGGTACAAAGAGTTGTTACCAGCTCAGCCACAACAACAAGAGCCAGAACATCTCATCTTTGCACTGCACCATCTGCTGACTGCTGACACACCTCACAGCTGCAGGAACCACATCAGGTTCCAGACGGTAACAGTGTGACAGAAAGTATTCCTGGACGCGTCACACGTGGGTTCAGCGCTACTGTTGAAAAAAACATCAAGTTCTTGATCTTTTAAAGCATGGACTCAGCGATCTGAAGATATTTTTTCCAACCTCACTAATTCTACCACGAGCCCGGCATTCTCGAACACGTTAAAGCACACAACGCAATCTCAGAAAAACGAGATAGGAGGCACGAGAGCACTTCAGGCGCAGCGTTAGGGAGCACATATCCCACGGCAGGGCAGGCGGACACGGCCCCGCCAGGGCTGGGCTCGGGCAGTGCTGGGGTCACTCCACGAGGTGCCTGCGGAGGGCCCAGCGCGGTTGGAGCCGCCAAAGCGGCCTCTCCACGGCCGGTACCGAACGCCCCCCCGGCAAACGGCTCCCAGGCCCGTTCCCCGCGCACCTCCCGCGAGGCCCTGCCGGGAACGCGGCCTCAGCCCCGCGCCCCCCCCGGCTCAGCCAGCGGCTCGGAACCCGCTGAGGCCCCACCGAGACCGGAGAGCGCCGGGGGACCATCTCCGAAGGGCTGCACCCTCCCCGCTAACCCAACCCGGCCCCTCCGCTCCCTCACCTGCCCCGGTGAGCGCCTCGCCGGACCGGGCCCCGCGCGCGCAAGGCATGCTGGGAGCGCCCCGCCCGCCGGGGCCGCGGACCACAACTCCCAAGAGCCCCCGCGGCGCCGGGCGGGGCGAGGGGGTTGGGGCTGGCGGTTGTAGCGGTAGAGAGGAGCTGTGGCAGCCCCGCGATCCGTCGGTGCTGCCGCTCGGCTGTGCCCGCTCGTCCCGACTTGCCGGCGGTTCGCCGTGGCCGCGGCCCGGCCCCCGGGGCGGTGGGTGCTGTGAGTGCGGGGCGGGGAGCGGGGCCGCGTTGCCATGGGGACGGTGCGCGTGCGCCGCGCGGCCGCCATGGCGGGGGGCTGTGAGGGCGGGGGTCCCCCTGGGGTCCCTCAACCCCATCTCTGTCCCCGTCCCCTCGCTGTGACCGGGCTGCGGTGCCTCATCCCCGGCCCCGGGCCCCTGAAAGCAGCCCTGAAACCAAGCTCTGTCTCTCGCCATTGCCCGCGTCTTCTCAGCTGCGCCCTCCCGGCGACGCTGTGGAGGTGGATGTGACAGCGAACGTCGCTTCTGGTGACACGGAAAGGCTCAGGATTTTGTGTTTCAGTTAGAATCATAGAGTCATGAAGGCTGGAAAAGACCTCCGAGATCATCAAGTCCAACCTAAGACCTAATACTGCCATACCCAAGCTCTCCAGAAAGTGCCTGTTGTGGTTATTGCTGACAAGTCTTTGTTTTAAACACTGCTTGCTCGCACTAAAGAGGAGGCATTAGCTGACTGATTGGTCAGATCCAGCGTAACATCCATAACTTTGGGATGCTGACCTCCCAAATAATCACAATTAGTACACCAGGCAGGTTATTTTATCCTCGTGGGACTCCTGTTTTCCTTAACATCCTCTGCTCACTGTCAGAGCACTGTACTCCAGCCATGGGCATTTTCCTCCTCCTTACTTAAATCAAATTCAGGGGTTGTCCCAACAAAACCACTGTGTGGATATGGACTGTTAAGGTATTTACAGAAGCAATTGCAAGTTATAAACATCCCAGGGCATAAGCTGACTTTAACCTCATGTTTTGAGGATTTTTATTACCCATGTCAATGCAAATAACAGTGACATCGCTTGAACAGTTATTTCAGTCCTCAAAAGCTCACAACCTTTGATGATCCATGTGAGTTTTTTTTGACTCTGGGTCTTCTATGATTCTATGAAACTTCTGAACCTTTCTTGCCCCTAAAAAAAGTAATTTACTCTCATGTTTAATTGCCCAGAAAACCATGCAATTGTAGCCTAAAATGTAAAGGTTTTCAGTGAGGATTGATTATCTGACTTGTTAGTACAGCTACATCCCCTGCTGTGTTGTCTCAACTCCTCAAGGAAAGAATCCACTTTAGAAACACTTTTAGAGGTCAAAATCCAAGAACATGCAGACTCTCAACTAATTTTTGTTTAAAAATCCAGTGAAAACAATAGCAAACATAAACCAGTGTTCAAGGCCAGCTTGGACAAGACTTGGAGCAACCTGGGCTGGTGGAAGGTGTCCCTGCCCATGGCAGGGGTGGATGAGATGAGCTTTAAGGTCCCTTCCAACCCAAACCATGCTGGAATTCTGTGATTCTATGATATCTGATCTGTCATTTGAGCAATGGAATGCTAGGGAAATAGGGAAGACAAGTGAAATCCAGCTGAGAGCAGAGGTGTCAGCCTGTCTTTGTTGTGTTCCTTCCCTCTCCATGCAGGCAGAACATGGGAACGTGCTTTAAGAGAACACAGTTAAAGCAGTGTGGCTAAGAACCCCAAAAAGTACTCCATAAATGAGAGGCTCAGCTGCCTCTGGGGTGTGTGTGGTGAGCAGAGCAGAAAGCTCTCGACCCTCTGAACTCAGGTGGGAAGGAACAGCTCCAAAATTGCGGATTTTATCATTCCCTGCTGACAGTGAAAACCCTGGGAGTGTTGAGAATTCCACTGCCCTTGCTGCACATGCTGGGCTCTTGTTTTGCACTGGTGTTACCCCTTGTCCTTTGCTGAGATGCCCTTAAGCTCATCTTGCCTTTGTTTGAAGGGAAGCTGCTCCAATGGCCTCCGAAGGGCAAAGTGAGGATGCAGAACATCCAGCTGAGCCTCCTGCAGCTCCCGTGCAGAGTGACAGGCCATTCCAGTGGGGATCCATCCTGGCTGCAGTCAAAGACCAGCTCCCATCTCTGGACTCCGAGTCCTCCACAGTAAGCACTGAAACCTGCCTTTCTTCCCACACTGCCTCGCAGGAATCTCTCGAAGGCAGGAGCAGGTGACCTTGGGCAGGCATTTCAGAGTGGCTGGTTGCTCTGAAGGGGCTGCCTGTCCTGGCTGTGTAACACATTAATCCACAGCCTTTGGGGTTATCCTCAGTTGTCAGGTAGTCACTGCCATCTCCTCTCGCTGTATTCTCTGGAACCTGCCCCTCTGCTCAGGTGAGAGCCCACCTGCAGTGCTGCCTCCAGCTCCAGGGTTCCCAGCAGAGGGAGGACAGGGACCTGGGGGAGAGAGTCCAGAGGAGGTCACTGAGATGATCAGAGGGATGGAGCAGCTCTGAGGAAAGGCTGAGGGACTTGGGATTGTTCAGCCTGGAGAAAAAAAGGCTCTAGGGAGACCTGAGAGCCCCTCCCAGTGCCCAAAGGGACTCCAAGAGAGCTGGAGAGGGACTTGGGACAAGGGCCTGAAGTACCAGGACAAGGAGAATGGCTTCCCACTGCCAGAGGGCAGGGTTAGGTGGGATATTGGGAAGGAATTTTTCCCTGTGAGGGTGGGGAGGCCCTGGCACAGGCTGCCCAGAGAAGCTGTGGCTGCCCCTGGATCCCTGGAAGTGTCCAAGGCCAGGCTGGACGGGGCTTGGAGCAATGTGGGCTGGTGGAAGGTGTCCCTGCCCATGGCAGGGGGTGGAACAAGATGAGCTTTAAGGTCCCCTCCATCCCAAACCAGTCTGTGACTCACCAGACAGTAAGTATTTCCAGGGAAGAGGAGAGTAGTGGGCATCTTACACATTTCTTCTTAGTTTGTTTAGTCAAAAATTTGGTATGAAAGCAACATCCTGCTGATTTACAGTGAAATGATAATGTTTTATGCTTGGCAGTATCATGCTATTCATTCCACAGTGTACTTGCAGACAGCAGGCCTGTTGGTATGATTTTCTATCTCTGGGGATCCCAGGAAAGTGGTATTCCTGAAGGCTTGGTGATCCACTGGAAAAAAGCATTTGGCAGATATTTCATTCCTGGATTCTGCTTTTTTTTATTTTTTACTGCCTGTGATTCTGCACAAGCCCCGTTGCCTTTTTGTGCTTTGCTTTTACGTGCAAAGAAGGAGAGTGAGAGATCTTGTGTAGAATTCCTCCCTGTTACAACGTTTTTCACTTGCTGGGGCTGGGCCAGCTTGCTCTTGGCTGCTCAGGATCTCTGTTCATGCATCATATTTGCACCATCAGCCTGGTGCAAATAAAAAAGTGCCTTCCACTCTAGTCCAGGATGCCCTGGCACTGACTTTCCTGAGGAGATAATGTGTTTCAAGACTCTATTATTAGTGGCCTTTTGTCCAAATAAAAATATTTTGGTGATTTTCAGACATGTAGAAACTTGAAAAAGTAATTTTGAACACACAAAGGGTATATTTTATTCCATCTTCTTGTGGCTATAAATGGTACAAGGGGAGTCTTGAGGGCAGTGAAGGAAATGCCTCCAAGGGCTCTTTATCACTTATTATTATCATCAATGATCAGAAGCACTGTGATCTAGTGGATAAAGTGTTGACAGAGATACCATGACTTGATTTCTGCAACTGGATGTGTCACTGCCGTGGTGGACAAACCATTTTGCCTCCCTGTATCTCAGTTCCCCTCTTCCTACTCCCTGATTTAGTTATTTAAAACAACCACTGCATTTTAATATGTGTCTATATAGTCTGGATTAAGGCCCAACACTGGAATTATTTGTAGGCTTTCTTGTTGTGTAAGTGTACAAGAAGCTTAAGAAGGAGGAAAAGCTCCACACTCTGGTGCCAAATACCATTGTGACACTCTAAATCACACCCAACATTTCTTTGTACTTACAAAACAACCTCCAGTTTCTCTGCTTCTGTTTAAAAATTCCTGCTGAAGGAACCTGAGACAACCTGTTTGGCATTCAAAAGATCTGGTTGTGTAATCCCTGTCCTGCTGAACCTGCAGTTCCAGTGGTGCACCTTTGTCTGAGCCATTTATGCATCCCAGATCTGTGACCTGAATGTGCTCTGCTCCTGCCTCTGCAAATGGCACTGACAAATGTGTTCTGTGCCCTGAAGTGCTTTCCTTACCCTGATATGCAATTTATTAAGAGGAAAGATGTTCTGCTGGAGTTTTCTTCGTGTTAAGGAAAGTTAATGATACCAGAAAGAACGCTGTGCAGTGAATTCCCGAAAATGCACACTTGCAAGACGAAGGGACGAGCAGGAAAGCTGAGTCCTGACTGCTGAGGAGGTGCTTAATCTGCCCTTGGTGCCCATGTATAAGCATTCATCTCCAGTGCATATCTTATGTTTAGAAAAGGGATTTTCAAAGCTGTTTAAATGCTGACCTACCAAGCCTTCATGGCCCTGCCTGTCCTCAGCTGGGGCTCTCACCCACATGCCCAGCAGCTCTGCTTGAGTTCAGCTCGGGGCCTTCATTCTCCTTCTGAGCTGTGTTGGAGAAGTGTTGGTTTCTGGCTGAGCTGGACTTTCATCTGTGAATTAACTCTCAGGCTTTATCTCTGACCTGCTTCATCATTACAATATTGCCTTATGATGTAGATATTTTACTCAGCTTTGCTGCTACCCCTGCTCTGTCCTGTTTGTTCCTCTTGGGTACTGTGAAACTGGGCTTGGCCTGGTGAGGCCTTGCCTTCCCAGTCATGAGCTCCCCTTCCCTCAGAATCCCAGAATCCCAGAATGATTTGGGTTGGAGGGACATTAAAGCTCATCTCTTTCCAGCCCCCTGCCATGGGGGTTGGAAACCTTCCACGAGGCTGCTCCAAGCCCCGTCCAACCTGGCCTTGGACACTTCCAGGGATCCAGGGGCAGCCACAGCTTCTCTGGGCAACCTGTGCCAGGGCCTCCCCACCCTCACAGGGAGGAATTCCTTCCAATATCCCATCTAGCCCTTGCTTGTGGTTGTAGGAAGCCATTCCCTCTCATCCTGTCACTCCAGGCCCTGGTAAATAGTGAGCAGCTCTGCTCTTGCCTCTCTGGTGGCGAATGAGGTCTTGCACAGAGTCACTCAGGAGTGAGAGAACTTCCCACCGTTCTCCCTGCTCTGCTCAGGGAGATGTTTGTCATCAACCTCCATGGAAATGCAATGTTTTACATGGTTTTTACAACTGTAGCTTGCTCCAGTGTTGGGTGGCTGTGAGACAGCCTGGGGTGGTGGCTGTTGGGCTACTGCACTGTCTAGCGAAGGTGTGACTGCAAAGAAACTTCCTGGCTCTGCACTTCAAGGGGTGACAACAGGGGAGTTTTCACTGCAAACCAGATATTCAGGCAAATATTACAGTCACTTGTTTAATTTCTCTTTTTTTTTTTTTTATTATTGTTTTCAGTCTGATTGTGCGAGTGATGAGGAAGTTTTCATCTTCCAGCGGGAGCTGTCCAACTTAATTCCCGACCTTTCGGAAGAACTGATGATGTTTTCCCTGGAAGACTCCAACGTGCAGGTTGTGACTGTTGTGTGGGGGCTGTGCTGCTCTCACCCCTCTCTTCTGCCTGTCTCCAGTGAGGGCATCTGCTGGTGTTGGACCTGTTTGACTGAACTGTGTGATGGAAAAGCTTAATCCCCAGTACTTTCTCCCACCAGAAAGTAGACCTTTCTTTCTCTTTATACAGTGACTCTTTAAAGTTTTCTCTGTTCTTGAGATTTAGAACTTTTTTTGTCCCATCTCCTGGCAGTTCTTATTGTCCTTTTGCTGTTTGTTTTTCCTGTGCACTAGCAGTGCACACTAACCCTGCGGATTGATGCCTGAAGTTTTCAGGGTTTTAAATTGTTTCAGCTAACATTTGATGTGTCTAGAAAATGAAGAATTATTTAGGACAGTGCAGAAAGGGGGACAAGTATGAAGTTTACTCCCCTTAAACAGCTTTTCTGGGAGAAAATTATTATTTTGCTCCTGCAGTGATGAATTTGTAGAATCCCAGAATGGTTTGGGTTGGAAAGGACTTAAAGGTCATCTTGTTCCAACCCCCTCTGCCATGGGCAGGGACACCTTCCACCAGCCCAGGTTGCTCCAAGCCCCGTCCAACCTGGCCTTGGACACTCCTGGGGCTGGGGCATCCCATCCCTGCAAGATTACCCAGCATGAGAAGCTGGAAGAGGAGCCAGCTGACCCTGCTGTTCCATCATGGGAAGATTAACAGTGTGCTACTTTTCCCCTGTTGTTTATCTTGGTGTGAGAGATGTCCTAGAGTGAGCACATGTAAGGAAAACAAATCTCAAGGATGTTTAGCACTTCCTGAAATTAAAGTTTCTGGAAAGTAAACAGTCCTACTCTTTTCCATGATGGAGGCGGTGTGGGCTGTTTCCATATGGTGTCTAAGTTGGAGCTGTTGTCTTCCAATCACTTTGTTTTGGTTTATTATCTCCTTCTAAAGCTCAGGGAGATATCACTTTCTGCACATGTGTGCTTTTTCTACCTGTAGCAAATCCAGGAAACAGAAAGACAACCATGGGAAATCTGGAACGGAGACCTGGAAAGTTTTGGCTTTCAGGAGGAAACAGATGGTACCCAAATCATTGCAAAAGAAGATGTACAAGTGATTAAAGATGAGACTCCCAACCTTGCCAGCCAGACTGAAGAAATGCCAAACCAAAAGGGGGCTGTTCTTGAAGAGTCTCTTGCAGATTCCAGAGATCACCTTGAAGAGGAAGAACTGGGCAGGAGACAGGCCAGGGAAACAGGGAACTCTTGGCTTAACACAGCGTTGTCTGTGGATGAGCTGTGCAGTGAAAAAGAGAGAAAAGAGCTGACAGAGACAGAGATGCTCTCCCAAGTCATTCTGGAGCCATCCCCAGGCCACCCAGAGCAGGATGTCAAACCTCTTTCCTGTGACATCAACAACAGTCTAGAAAGAATTGCAAAGGGAGAAACCTCCTCAGATGAGCATCTTGGAGAGCTGACCCGTTTGTCATTGCAGGTAAGCGGCGCCAAGAACAAACTTTGGGGGGTGCTGCTCGTGGGGTGAGGGTGCATTGCTTTCAGAACCCTGCTAAGGCTGAAGTGCCAGCTGATGCACACACAGAGGGTATGTGCTCCATAAGTTCCAAAAGCTGTCTCAGAGCTGTCACTGCAAGTCCATGTTGGTGGCAAACCCAGCGGATCACAGCATGACTCGTGGGACTTCAGGACAGCCAACCACAGCATCTGCCCCTGGAAGCGCAGGAAACTCTTCTGCTGCTTCCAGGCAGACTTGGCACTAAAACAGGGAGCTTTCTGGCCTTCCAGTGTCTGGTCTTTCCTCTAATGCTGCAGGTGAGAAGAGAAGGTGGTTAGGATTGTTCCTGAAGTCCTAAATCTCTTCCACCTGAGGCAGGTCCTTAGTTCTGTGGGATGGTTCTCTTCAGTACTATAGGTTTAGGTCTTCCTTTATTGATTTTTGAGTTCATTAGGACTTAATCAGCACAGGGCATGACCTGATATTTCTGTTCAAAGCCTTCCATAGGTCAGAGTACAGACATTTCCTTTCCCTTTCATCTACATTCACAAAATATACTTTTTGATGTTAGAGCTGTTCCAGTACAGGCAAGGAATGCAGCTGCTTGCCTGTGTGGTAAATTGTGCTGCATCATTGGAGGGGATCTTTTTCAAGTGGTTCTGGGTTTAATTCCCATCCCACCTCATCTAAATCAGTTGCTATATTAATTCAGGAGGCATGATTTGCCTTTCAGAACCTATCTGATATCAGCTGATGGTTTTGGTTGGGCACTGAGACCAGGCTAAGTGTGTCCTCACTTTCATTTGGAAGGTGGTTGTTACTTCCCAGCTCAGCAAGGTACTTCGTTTATGTCAAGTTGTTAATACCAGTATACAGTTTCTCCTTGGTTCATATCCGTTCATTTGATTTTTTTTTCCCCTCAAGTTCCTTTCTGTGTTAGAAATGGAATTGTGCAAATCTTAAATTCTTTTCTTCTGGACCCTGTCTGGTACCTTCCCACAGTGCTGTTCCTAGCAGGTTACATGGTAGTTTGATCTTTGCTATTATAATGGTTTGTACTTCAGTACTATTACTGAAAGAGAAGCTTAGTTCTAACTGCATCATAATAAAATAAATGTTTATGTTGTCTTTCTCTTCGGGCTGTTTGATAAAACAGAATCTGTGCTGACCTGTGATGTTCTCAGTTGTCAGTCCTTTCTTGCTGTTCCAGACCAATAAATAATGGCATTTTGGAACCAGTATTAGCTTTGTGTTGGTGAGAGACTTCATCCTGTGACGCTCATCAGGGTTTTATCTTTCATCAGCTGCAGCGTGTAATGACAGAATAGAAGTAGTCAGGGTTCAAGATGTGTGAAGATTTATTGCTCAGGAAGGACTGAGAATCTTCTCTGAAACAAGAGGGGCAGATGACAGAGGTTTTACAAGGTGAAACTGCTGGTTTTGGAATCTGCTTCTGCTTTCTAAAACCTGTGAGTGGTTCTGAGAAATGCATGTTTGTTGTAGCTGTGACATCATTGTCTCGACTGACAGCCCCCTTCCTTTTAATAAACCTTATGAGCGCTTCTAAGTTCTGGTGATGATGTTTCAGATGGATGTGAATATTTTTAATTAAACCTTCAATTTCAACTAATGGGGAAAGCAATCAGTGTTTTAAATGCACGTGGATGTGGCAGTGCAGCCTGGCTCTCATACCTGAGTTAGCAGTGTGAGCGTGCCCTCAGCCAGGTGTGTGGGATTCCTGGCAATGAAATGGGTGATCCCATACTCACTGTGGAATAACAGCTGGGAGATTGCTGATTGTACCTAGAGGAATGGGAATTTACCTCATCTCAGAGAACAGAAAAGCCAGAATTCCTTGTCTTACGAGTGGCAGTGAGAAGTTCTCAGCATTATTCAGGATCAGAATACATGTGCTTGGTCTCGAATCAGGCCATTTTTTAATCTGTTTTCACTGTCTCTGGGGATTTTTTGTAGCCTATTTCAAAAGGGTTCGTGATTGTCAGTGAAAAAACCTCGGCAGGAGTAGATGAAGCAGCTGGAGAGATGCTCTGTCCAAAGGGATATAATAAATCATTCCTTTCCTTCCAGCAGTTCCTTGTGGGGCTGCTGAAAGCAAGCTGGCAGTCAAGTTAGGGATGGTCTTTTGGGAGTGAACTTTCCATCATGTTCCTGTTGTCTTCTTTCAGAACATTGAGAAATGGGATCTGGACAAGAATCCTGAGGAGCTGGAGCAGCAGAGAGATAACACTCCTCCAGAAGTTGCTTTCTTCTCAGCTGTTTATGGTAATATGACTAAATTAATACCAACTTTGCTGAAAGTGTGTGTATAAAAATAAATAAAACTCGGGTTCCTGTGTTTAAGTCATCCCCTGCAGCATGATTTTGAAGATTGAAATCACAGTGGATTTTTTTAATCCCTCTAAAACGTGTTTAATTAGCTTCCCTCAAGATTTCATCTGGTTTTCTTAGCCTGAAGCCAGCGCTTCGTGGCCTGCCATGGCCTAAGAGTGGATCAGACAAGCTGGATGAAGGTTTGAGGGGAGTCAGAGCCAGATGCCAATATTTTCTTTCTCCTTCCCCTTCTGCCAGGCTGTGGGAAAAGGGACAATGTGGAAATGAGGTGTGTTGGGTGATCCCATGGCAGAGGACCACAACTGGTGATTCCTTTGGTTGCTCTTCCCTAGAGACCTTCAGGAGGAAGCCTGAGCTCCTGGAAATGCTGGAAGAGCTGAGTGCCAGGCAGTCCAGGCCAGTGTCTCCTCCCTGCAGGTGGCTGTCAGCCAAGCCCTCCTCCTTTCAGGAACAGCAGGACAATAAGTAGGTCCTTTTCTGTCATTTACCCCAGATAATCCTGGCTGCCCACAGGGATACTGGAAACTTCTGTAGGTGCCGTTCCCTGCAGCCACTGCAGAAAGCTGATTCCATAGTTGGAATATGCTCCAGGGATGTTCATGGGAAGAATTAAGACTCAGTCATTCACATACATTTGATGATAAACACCTCAGCATTATCCATCATCAACCACCACCTTTGTCTAGGCCTTACCTGAGACAAAGGGGAAAGGCAGGAAAACAAGGCTAAGCTGATTATCATCCTCACATTGTTTTGGCATCCAAGCTACCAATTTCTTTTTATTGGTACTTCAATTTAGGTAAAATATACAGGATGTTTTTTTTGTGGGTATCAGTGGAAATGTCAGTGCATCATGGAGGGTTCTGTGTGAAAGAAGTGGGTTTCAGGCTGTTCAGAGGGAACAACATCAATGGTGGAGGCACAGAGGAAACAACACTGAAAAAGCCTGTGCAGTGGAAGGGGGGAAGTATCCTCATTGCCAGAGCAGGGAGAGCCACGAAGATGATTTGCACTTTGTGTGCTCTGAAGGATGAAACAGAACTGCCTAGAGTGGCAGAGAGGAAAAGGGAGACCTGTTCTTAACACACTGACACAGCTAATTGGTACCATAACTGCCTGCCTTTGTTCTACAAAACCATTTGATGTTGTCAGATTTTGAGAACTAAATATCCCTCATCCTCCTGCCTGTGATCTGCATTCCTGGGGGAAGCTGAATCTTTGACTTAAGCTTTGAAAGGTGGTGGATAGCAGGCAGAAGTAGAGTTGGAATCTGTGTGGTAGCCAAGCACAAAGCTCTTTTCTCCACCCGGTTTTGATCCTAATCCCCACTCTGCAGGACTTCTTGTCTGGCTAAGGCAGAGGACATGCTGAAATGGTGTGTTCTGTATGCAGGGATGTTGCCTTGCCATCATCCTCCCTAAGTTCTCTGAGAAGGAACAGAAGGTTACAGAGCCTGCCAGAGCCTGCAACTGTGTACTTAGACTTAAGAGAGGATGCCCCACAGAACTCAGTGACGTTCCCTGAAGAGGAACAAAGGTAAAGCCTGGATTTATAGCACTTTATTGGTAGTGAGAAACAAGGAGCAAAAAGTGGGAAACTGAAACCTTCTCTCTGCGTTGCATAGCTGTGAAATGCAGCTTTAAAACTGTTCTTTCACACTCTGCCATCAAAAGAAACCTTAAATAAGCAGCTGATAGGTCATAAACAGGTAACGCATTTTGAGCTGGCTGCTTGAATATTTTAATTTTTTTGTTAGAGTAGTAGTGTGAAGAACTATCCATAACACTTGGTGTTCTTCTCTGAAAGTCTCTCCCTATTTTCTAATTTTCTAAATTTGTATTATATATATTTTTCATATATATATTCAATATAATTGATGAAGAGCCAACACCCATTTGGAACAGAGTTTAACTCATGTTGTCTGATTTGTTTCACAAGTTCAAGTGACAGCTCCACTGAAGAAGAAGAAGAAGAAGAGACTGTGACAATTAAGGATGAAGCAGAAAGGAGAATGTAAGACTCTTTAGCAGGACCCCAGATCAAGTGATAGAATGTTCATTCTTTCTGGAACTCAAATAATTGCCCTAACAGTGATTAGAGTGAAAGCTTGTGTACTGAAATACCTCCATTTCTGGTCTTCCCAGATGAGGAGCCCAATAACGAAAATATTTGTCTGGCCCCAGGAGATCACTTTTCCTGTTGCATGGCAAAGGTTCCAAAGGTAGAAAAGAGTTGTTGATCCTCGAGGCAGTGCAGCACTTGCACCTCTGCAGTGCATGGGAGGAACTCAAAACTCAACTGGAATGGCCCTGGGTGGCTGGGAAATGTGACTCTTCCTGTTTGAGTGACACAAGAACTGTCCTTTAAATGACTCACAGTCAATCTTTGAAAATGTTTTAGGGGGTTGACTCAGACAAACCTTTTATTTTTTTAGAAAAAATAAACCAGGCTGGAATAGATAGAAATTAAAAGAGGGTGTTGAATACACTGTGTGGGCAGGGATGCTCCCCGTTCTCCTTAATTGGAGGGGGAAGGGGAAAGAGTGTGATGGATGGAATTCTAAACTGTAAATTCTTCAGGAGGCACAGATGTCAGCCTTTTCCTGTTACTAAACTCAGGGTTTGATTCATACCCATAAGTTATTAGACATTTGTTTAACGTGAAGCAGAGATGTCAAGCCTTGATGATCTTCCTGCATTTATGCTGTGGGTTAGTTTCAAAGTCTGCTGCATGTAAATTCACATCACAGCAGTGCAGAGGACCAGCACAACACATTTATTGTTGTGCCAGCCAATTATACTTTTTTTTTTTCTAATGGTTCGAAAGAAGAAATGATTTGACAAGGAGCAGAGCCTAAACAGTATCATTTAGGACATCTAATCCAAACTCCAAAAAGCAGGGACAAGGTGATGCTTGGGGGACTCTCCCTGGCACTGACACGAATTCAGCAGTTGCATCAATGTAAACTGAGTGATGGAGCAGAGCTCGGCTAATTGGATTTTGAGTTGCTTTAATGTTGCTAAAGAACATACACAAATGAAATGCCTGGCAAATATTGCTCAGTTCTGTTTGGAAATACAGAAATCCCCTTGGTCTCAGCAGGGCAAGATTCTGATTTCATTCACAAGGGGTCAGTGCCATTTTCACTCTTCTCTGGATGGAATTATTAAACATATGCTACATATTCTGTAGTACAATATACCTACAATGCTGAGGGCTCATACACACCACCAAACTACAGCATTACTATCCAACCCAAACCAACAGCTACTCAGGCTGTGTACTCATCTAAAATAAGGTGTTTTATTTGCTCATAATCACCTGATGAGGTACAAATTGATTTTAGCAGGTGACCTGGGAACAGAACTGCAAACTCACCATGTCTGCCCATTGTGTCATGACCAGACATTCCACAACAGAACATATCCCAATGATGTGCTTGCTGAGAGTTCAGCAGTCTCGTTAACTTGGAGGGGATATTGGTTAAGCCAAATGCTCAAAAATTCTAACAATTACTAGAAAAAAACTTCTTCTGTCTGTATTTGAATCCCAACCCCTGCATCCAAAGGCGACAGAAATCTGCAGGCTCTGACTTCCATGCCAACGAAGCATTTGTTGAGGGCTCTTTTAGTAGGTGTGTGTTGTGCCTGAAATGCAGAAGAGGTAAATAAATTGCCATTAAGATAATTTCTGTGTTCTGTCTCCATAGTGTTTTGTGTCCCCTGAGTGCTGTTGCTGCCATTACCAACAGCTATCATTCCTGTAGATGCCCAGCCCTTGTTTTGGAGCTGTTACTCATATGAGAAGTTCCTCAGAGTTTGAATTTATTCCTATGATGCTTTGGCTTGATTAAATGAGTTTTTAATTTCCTTTGCAGGAGGAATTGCTCAGGGAAAAGCTTCTTACTGCAACAACTCCGAGCAGCCCGTAAGGAGACCTCAGAGCTTCTTCATAAAACACCTGCTGCAACTGGAAAACTGGATCCAGAAAGTCTGGAAGACAGAGGTTCCTCCAATATCAGTCAAACCCAATATTGCAAAGTGAGGCAAGAGACAAATAAGGTGGTCCCTGGGAAACTAATGAGGTTGGAACCAGAGAAGGAAAGTCCCCCTTTGTCCAGCTGTGGGGACAACAAAGCTGACATAGAAAAAGGAAACAAAATGGAAGCTGAGAAGGTTCAGAGTTCAGGGAATGCTCCGGAGTGTCCTCGAACTACAAGAGAATTGCCAAGGTATCCCCCAAGAAAAGCCATCAGTGGTTTTGATTGTTGTCTGGCTGTCTAAGATTAAAGAACATTACTTGCCTGCTCTGTGAGCTGGAGCAAAAGGGTGTCTGGTTTTGTTACCTGAAAAACAACAGTCCTGGCAGCTCTTGCTGAAAGGTTTAGAGGAAGCCTGAGTGGATCAGTGAAGTGGCCTGGGATTAGTTGTGCTATGGCACTCACTTGTGACATTGTGAATTTAGCCTTTTACTTTAGTTTTTATTCTGTAGAAGAGGAGCATAACGATATTGATTTGCTTTGTGAACAACAGCACTGAGGTTTCCTAAGCACAGCATCCTAGAAAATAGGTCTGGCAGGGTCAGTCTCCCTGCACCAATACAGAGTGAGGTAAAGTCTAATCCTTTCCTGGCATATCTTTATATAACTTGCTCTTGAAATCCTCAATGGCGAGGATTCCTTGACTCCCAGGTAGTACATTTTGCTGCTTTATTATCTTTACAGTTGTAAAGCTTTTCCTTAAATTATCCTCTCTCCGATTTAAGCTTGTTTTTGTTGTGTTCCTGGAAGGAATGGGAAGTGGTTTATTTCTCTTTCTCAATATCAAACACTTTTTACGAACTGGAAGATGTATCAGCCTCCCCTTGTAACATTTTCTTCCAAACAAAGGAATTCTGACTCTTTGCCATCAAGGAAAATGCAAGACCTTGGAGGAATACCAAAGGAACACCTTGGAAAGCTTTAAAAAGTGGAAATAAGAGTGATATCCATTGAGGAAATAGCAGAGTTATTTGGGCCTTTGCCTCTTTGGGCTTCGTTTAATGTTGTGTATTCTGCAGAAGGTCTGATTTGAAAGTGAAATCAGGTGGTTGCCTTGTGCACCTGCCCAGCTCTTTGGGAGAGCTCCATTATCCTGACTTTTCAAAGGTTATGTTCTGCCTGCTATTTTCAGACTGAAATGACTTTGACATACGAGCCCTGGAAAGAATTAGGATCTGCCTGCTCTGGAGACTGTTCCTGTTTCAGAGCTAAACAGTTGCTGGCCCTGCCACTTAAACACCTCAGCTCCTGTGTACCTGGTGTAAATGGCAGATGGTTGGTTGCAGGGTTTTTTCCCCTCTCTGGAATTCCTGACATTAAAGCTCATTGCTTCCATCAGGAATATAAAACTCCATTTTGGCTCCCTGTTAACCTGCCACAGAGATGGGAACCCATGGCTGGGCAAGGAGCTGGGTTAGTTATTGTCCAAGTAATAGCTCACAATGATTTTAACTGATTTCAGTTTTCTTTCTTGCTATTCTCATCATTTTTGGGGCACCTGGGGCTGGAGAAGTCAGAAGAAATCAAACTCCATGGCAGAGGAAATCTTCCTGCAGGCATCAAAATGTAGAAAGATGGAAGGTCTTGGGTCAGGGAAACTTGTCACTCACTGTCCCATCCTATAGCAGATAGGAAAGGAGATGGGGTTAGGCTGAGACTTTTGGTGTGGAGATAGGCAGTGAAACATCACAAATACATCTCTGCTTCAAGAAATTTTTCTCTCCAAATAGATCATCACCACTTATCAGAGATTTGAGCTCTGCTCCTTTGCTTTGAAGTTGGGTGTTTTTCTCAGAGAGATGATTTCATCTCATGACAAGTTCTTGTGTCCACCTAAAAATCTTTCGAAATCTATTTTAGCCTTGCAAGTCATATTTCACTCAAGTGTGTGGTATAAATACAAGAAAAAAAAAAAAAAAGAAATACAAACAGATGAACAAGTGGCTTTTTCTCCCAAGTGAAAAGCTTAAGCCAAGCAGAATCTGTATATTTTTCAGGACTCAAGAAAGTGAAAGAGAGCTATCCCAGAAGGAAGAGCAGCTGAAAGAGAGACAGAGGAGACTCGGATTCCAGGAGCAGCTGGAGGGATTGCAGCCTCAGCAGTCAGTGTGTGGGACCCAGCCCATGGCAGAGAACACCCCTGTTCTGTTCCACATGGTCAGTGGCTGCCTGTGATTTACAGAGTGGCTTCCTGGCTCCGGGCAAGTGTGTAAATCCTAGAGCAAAAAGGAATTTTCATTGCATTATTGAAAATCTGTTTGTTGTGGAGCACCATCACTTGATGAGATGAGCGGTTGCACAGCTCTTGTCTCACACTAGTTGTATTTTTTCCACTTTCCTGTGCAGGGAGAGCTCCCCATGCAGCTGGCCAGAGTTTTAACCTGTCATGGTATGGCAGGAGCCCAGCTTGCTGAAATCAGTGTGCTTAATGTCATCTACTTCAAGGGAACCAGACTTTCCCACGTGATTTTTCATAGCTTTTTCTAAAAAAAAAAACCAAAATATTTTTACTGTCATACTCCTAAAGCAAAGGTTATGCTGAGTCCTGTCTGGTTGTCTGCCCCCAGCAGCTTTATAGGTCAGTTTAGTGGGTAGGTTTTGAGGACTGTGGGTTTCATAATAACTTTTGCTCCTGATTAAGGGAGTATGAAATTATCCTGATTTTTTCCCCAATAAGGCTTGGAGGACAGGGCTAGTTTTCCTCCTGAGAAGGTTTGTATAAGTCTTGTTGGAATGAGATGGTCTTTAAGGTCCCTTCCAACCCAAATCATTCCATGATTTTGTGATATGCAGTCCTGCCTCCTCCTTTCACTGAATTCACTGACCACGGGGCCAGCTGAGAAGGTAAGAGGAGATGAGAAACTCCAGCATTTGTCTGCAATGATTTATTTGGGCAAAAATTGGAAGACCTTACAGCCCTAAATTGGGGGCTGCACCGTTCAGGTTTGGTTTGTAACTTCATTACTGTGTTTCTGGAGATTTGAATGCTCATTTTATTTACCGCTGGATTAATCACCAATGAGGAGTAAAGGCCTAACAAACTGCCAGCTGACTTTCCCTCTGCCAGCCTGCTTTGACAAGGTCAGGACACTGCCCAGAGCTCTATTTTGGGGGTGTAAGGTTGTGGATCCTTCAGCCTCTTGCTGCTGTGAGGTACCACCCATTCCAGTTCGCCCTTATTAAGATGCAGACACTCACTGGCTCATCAGAGCCTCGCTATCTCATTCCTGACAGTGCACCAAGCAATGCAGAATTATTCTGCACCGTGGTCATTTCCCATCTTTGCTGTGCTGAAGCCAATAAAATGAAGATAAGGGCTTGGTAATGGGGTTTGTCTGGAGTGCAGCTCAGGGTGTGTCTGTGCTGGAGCTGAAATGCAGTGTAAATGTGCTCCTAATAGATTTGGTGATAGTCCTGCCAGCCACTCGTGGCAGCAGGACGTGGGCATTGCTGCCCAGGGTTTCCAGCCTTCTGCTGCCCATGGAAACAGGACAAGAGGCAGTGATTTTCAACTGCCAGAGGGCAGGGTTAGGTGGGATATTGGGAAGAAATTCTCCCCTGTGAGGGTGGAGAGGCCCTGGCACAGGTTGGGCAGAGAAGCTGTGGCTGCCCCTGGATCCCTGGAAGTGTCCAAGGCCAGGTTGGACGGGGCTTGGAGCAACCTGGGCTGGTGGAAGGTGTCCCTGCCCATGGCAAAGGGTGGGACAAGACTTCTAAAATGTATTAACATCATGCATCAAACATAGCAGTCTTTTATAAGATCACTTGAAACCCACCTTGATAGCAGCATTTTTTTTATTAGAATAGGGTTTTCTTTTCTTTCTTTTTTTCTGAACATAGACAGAAAAACTTGTATGTTTTGACATTTAAAACTAAAGAAGCTATAATTTGGCAGCTATGTCTCAGTGAAAATATCTAATATCTATATATAAACATGTACATTCAGAGAACAAGCCCCAGTATTTGACAGAGTATCACACTTTTGAATTTGTTTTGTAAGTCCTTTGTTTTGGCAGTGATAGATGTTCAGATCTGGAACACTTGTCATGGTTTCCAGAATTCCTCTGACCATTTATAATGTACATAAATTATTGAATTGAATAATAATCAGAGAGAAAGTTTAGAAACTCTGCAATTACTGTAGCTGAGATGCTGGAAAAAGACTAGCAAAGGAAATTTCAAAAGCTGCATTAGGGTTACATTAGAGTTCTTGTCTAAAATATAAAAGCAGTGAAACTCAGATTTAATGTGCTCTGTTTTTTTCCTTAACCCAGTTCAGTCAGACTCTGTCCTCAGCTTCACTTTGAGAGTCAGGGTTGGGGATAACACTCCAAACAGTGCAGACTGAGAATTAACTTCCAGGGCCACTTCAGCTTCTGAGGAAGGGGCTGAGGTCCAGTGTATTTTCAGGTTATGCAGGTACCAAGTTTCCTGGGAAATCTTTGGGTTCACTCTGAGAATTCTGCCTGTCACATCTGTGTGTCAATACTTTTGCCATCTGTCCCACCTCTTTGTTTTAAAAATAATGCATGGAAGAACCTGTATTTTTTAATGGTTTTGGGTTTTTTCTGCTCCCCTTCACCACACAAGCTATCAGTGAAATTTAAGACTGGCAGGGGTTGATCTCTTCTGAAACTGGGCCCCTTAAGCACATTTTAACCTTTGGACCTATTTTGGTTCCCACATTTGGATCTTTGGATTTCATTCAGAACTGATGTAAGGATCCAGAGCCCTGTGAAAGCCAGCAGAGTGGTGATGTGATCCTTGTTGTAAGGTCAGGATGAGTGAATAGTTTAGAGTAACGTGCACAGGGTTTGTTTCAGTATTTGAGCAGAGTTTTATTGATGAGGGAGGGAAAGGAAAGCTGCACAGTACGTAAACCAGTTAAATGGGGATGTAAAATGAAATGAGTTTGATCTGTCACTTCATTCATCTTGCTTATTATGATGGAGTAACTTTGTACTGATGTTGTTTTCCATATTATATTCCCATTAGGTGGGATCCAGATAATAGCTTTTACTTTTACCAGGCTCATAACTGAGATTTATGTCAGGGAGCAGCACAAGTGGGTTACTCTAAGAATCAGAGAATCACAGGGCAGTTTGGGTTGGAAGGGACCTTAAAGCTCATCTTGTTCCACTCCCTGCCATGGGCAGGGACACCTTCCACCAGCCCAGGTTGCTCCAAGTCCTGTCCAGCCTGGCCTTGGACACTTCCAGGGATCCAGGGGCAGCCACAGCTTCTCTGGGCAACCTGTGCCAGGGCCTGACACCCTCACAGGGAACAATTTCTTCCCAATATCCCATCTAACCCTGTCCTGTCTTTAGGGAAGACAAAGCAGGGACTGCAGGTGAGAGCAGGGCAGGCAGGGCAGGGACCTCACCAGAGCAGCTCTGATTGAGGGGCCAGTTGGGAAGTGTGTGGAAGGAGGTAGGTCCAAGGGACAGGACATGTGGTCAGCCAGTGCAGGGGTGCCCCAGGGTGTCTGTAGGGATGAGTCCAGTCTGAGATCAAGCCACAGAGTCAAATCAGTGAGTGAAGGGTCAGTTCAGGTGAGGGAGGTGCCAGGCAGAGGTAGAGCTGCAGTGCAGCTTGACAAGGACCAAGGGAAATGTGTCAGCTGAAATGCAGAATCACAGAATATGCTGAGTTGGAAGGGACCCACAAGGATCATTGAGTCCAACTCCTACCCCTGCACAGACACCCCAGCATTCCCACCCTGTCCCTGAGAGTGTTGTCCAAACCCTCCTGCAGCTCTGGCAGCCTTGGGGCTGTGCCCACTGCCCTGGGGAGCCTGTTCAGTGCCAACCACCCTCTGGGGGAAGAACCTTTCCCTGAGATCCACCCTGAGCCTGCCCTGACACAGCTCCAGCCATTCCCTGGGGGCTGTCCCTGCTCCCCCCAGAGCAGAGCTCAGTCCTGCC